TAATGAACATGCAAACTCACTACTTTAAGTGACGCGTATTCAAAACACTTTTTTCAAACAAACATGAAATCAAAAGCGTTTCAACTTTTGCAAATTAGTCTATACTTGTGTGCATCACACAGTAATGTTAGCCTAATAACTGGAACAAAATAAAATAATGTAAATAAAAATCACATCATGATTAGCAGAGGCCGATCTTTGATCGGCCGAGTGGGGTGCTCAATTCATGACCTTCCGCTCTAGTACTTATGTTCTTGAGTTGAGACACTTTGGTGATGACAGATAAGTGGCGTTTGGCACAAGTCTCGGGTTTCCAAAATTTCTCAAAAATATTTAGCTTTTGACTTTGTAATTTGGCAAAGCAGTCCATTTTTTGCATTTGATTCAAACATCGATTTTCCAAAAGATTGTCGGATTTGAACTCATTTGTATTTATCTATTTCGTATTGCAGTTGTGAAATCAAATTCAGAACCACAGGGGTCTAAACTGTAGGACTGCTTGTATCTAAAAGGAGCACGAAAAGAAAGCTACAGGGCCTAAACGGGCCGGGCCCACCGCGGGCCACCCACGGGCCATTTTTACCCTCCTAGTTTGGTGTGTAGTTTCCAACATGTATTCAATCATAATAAGGTGCCTCAAGAAGCATGAACGCAGGGAGTACCACATTAGGTCCCTGTAGACACCCCATTTTTGACCGTTCTCAAGACTTGGACGTCATCGTTTGAACACTCGATGATCATCCATGTTCGTGTTCGTTTTGAGTTCCCGAAGGTCTCAGCCGCGCGCCTTGCCTCATGATCTCTTAACTTGCCTGTTTTGTGCTTGGTCGTGGACTAAGAACTTGTTTGTTTTTGCTTCTGAGGGCAGAGAATGGCTTGTTGGTCATCCCCACACGTCACCGGCCTTGGCTTGAGGCCACCGGCCCTGTTTTGTTGCTATCAGCCATTGGTGAGGCTGGTCGGCATTGTTCTTGGTCGGCCGGCCGTTTGTTTGGTCAATCGGCCATATTTTCTGGCCGGGACTTCTTTTTTGCCTTTTTCAGGCATTTTGTGTGCCAGCTGTGCCAGCTGGAGCACACATACCTGTCCTCCATACACGTGTATGGAGGATTTGTACCCTTTGCACCCTTTTGCTCTAAGCTTCTTGAGGAAGCTTGAACCCTTTGCCTTAGCTTCCCTAAGAAGCTTGGACCTTTGCCTTAGCTTCCCCAAGAAGCTTGAACCTTTGTTCTAGCTTCTTGAGGAAGCTTGACCTTTTTGTCTTGGCTTCTCCAAGAAGCTTAGGCCCTTTTTGTTCTATAAAAGAGGGCCTCCCTCCTCCTTTAGAAGGGTTGATCAAATCAGATATATACATCAGAGATATATGTCACATAGACCACTCTCTCTCTCTCTCTCTCTCTCTCTAGATTGTGTGTATAATAGTGTTCAAAAGTGTGTTTTTGTTCCTATTTTTGCACTAAGGCACCTAGTGTTACACCATATTTCGGTTATTAAGGTGTTGAGGGACTAGTTTCAGAGTTTTTAGGTTGATTTCGATCAAAGGAAGGGGTTGGGGTTGCTGTTCTTGAAGTGTTCTTCAAGGGTGAGCACTATTGCTTTATATTCCCCATTTTTGCACTAGCTTTTAGTCTATCTTGCATGCTGTTTTGAGCTTAGTGTATAACTGATAAAAGTTCTATATTTTCATGCTTAAGATGTTTGTTTAAGGTCATTTTGGTGTTGGGGGTCGTCCTCCCCCTCTTAGGCCTTGTTTGGCTTCTTTTTGTGCCTTCTTTGTTGAGCTTTGGAACTTTCGTGTATTGGCCTTCTCACCACTGAAATCCAGAGGATTTTTAGTGGTGGTAAAGTGGTTTCGAGGTCTTGTATAGGGGAGGGACATCCCTCTCCCTTTGTGTCTCACATGCTTGTGTTTTTGGATCATAAGGGTAGCATGCATGCTTAGTTGATTTTGGCTCCATCTCAGTGGGTATTTAGTGATATTTGGTCATGGTTTACCTCTGTTTTAGGTTGGTTTGTTGACCCCTTGCATGCACCATACACTTGCCTTGGATTCCTCTATTTTGCTTAGAAATGCATCATGCATTTAGACCACCATGCTTGCATGTTTTGACTTAGCTTTGTGAAGTTTTTAGTCATGTTTTAACGTGTTTAAGTTCTGTTTGGTGTCAATCTGGTCATGCTTGCCATGCTTTATATAGCCTCTTTGCATTCTAGCTTGTTGGCTTCGGGTGTGTGAGTCATTAGCATGCTGCATTTGAGCTATTTCAGTGATTTGGCATCACTTGTCATCATATTTCAGTCCATGTTTCGTGGCCACACACTTGAATTTATCACCTATTCTATACTTTGGAGAGTTGTTGTTTCATGCTCCTTACTTGGACCATTGCATGTGCCTCCATGACTTTGTCTTTGGAAGACCTTCTCATTGGGTTTTGGGGTTTGTTTTGGTGTATTATAACTCTGATTTTATTTTCCTAAGTCATGTCATGTTCGGTTGTAAGAGGTGTAGTGCATTTGCCCTTTTGGGCCTTGTATGCGTCTTGTTTTGTGCCCTTCTTTACAGCATGTTTTGGCTTTGTTCCATATGAGTTTTAGCTTCATTTTGGTCTGCCTCGGGATTGTTTTGAGTTTCTTTGACCATTTGGGGCTTGGTTGACATAGTCATGGTTCAAGTCTCGTAGCTAGCTTTGAGCTTTAACTCCATTAAACATGCCATGTTTGAATTGTGTAGTCGATTTGGCATCATTCTTCATGTGATTTCAGAGTTTATTGTAATGCCATATCCTCATATTTATCACATCTCGCTCATGTTTGAAGGTTGTGCATTGTGGCCTAATTGATGGACCAACATGTGTGCATGTTTATCTCTCATTTTGGTGCCTTATTTTTGGTCTTTTGGCCATTGTTTTGGGGCATGGCTGAGGCCTCCCATTTCGGTTTAAGTCCACCCTTGTACATGGTTGCTTGTTGGGCATGTTGCATCTTGTTACATCATTTGCATGCTTGCATTATATCATGTTTACATGTTCTTATTACATTAGCTTAGCTTGCATGTTAGGTTGCATTACATTATATCTTGCATGCTTAGCACATTTTACATTTGCGTGTTTAAGTTGCATCGCATTTGGCATGCTTTGCTGACTTAGCCCCAAATTGCATACTTGAACCATTTTGCATATTTGAGCCATATTGCATATATGCATTGCATTGTGTTTGGTTTGGGGTGTCAAACCAAACATGAGGTATGAGGTGTGTTCGTACTTAAAGTGACGAAACACGTCTCAATCCTCGGTCGCCGACACTCTTGATCTCAACATGATAGAGTGTGTAGCATTTATTTGTTTTGTTGCATCAATTTACATTGATTTGCAAACTTGGCACCTTTGGCCATCATACATCGAAATGCGTGATTGGTGGCTCGAGGACCGAGAGCCATGCTCCCTTGAGTTTATTGCATGATAGGGAGAGTGGCTATGCACACATTGCCTTGAAAATACCTTGCCATGCACTGTCTGTCCTCTGTTGCAGCAAAACTAGTATTCTGCAGGAAAAAATGGCCGGTCGGCAATCTTCAGTGCCGGCTGACCACAAAAGTCCAGCCGGTGGACCAACTTCTGGTCGGTTACCATATTTCCATAGCCGGTGGTCGTATATCTTGGCCGGTGATATCCCATAATGATCAGGGAGTAATTCAGAAGCATCCCAAGGATTTTCACAATTATCAGAGGTGCAGAACAATGCAAACAGAGGCAACAGAGGCATGGCAATGGGTTTCTGAGCAAGACAAATCGAGCATGCATCATCCAAGCATTCCGAGGCAGGGCTGCAGCAGCCTCCCTTTGTAACCGATTTGTTAATTAATTTAGGGTTATGTAATATTTAATTAGCTAGAGTAGTTAATTATTTATTTGTTTTGTATTATTTATTCGGACACTCCGACGAGAGAGCAAATTTGCAATAAGTGTGCGTGCGTGTGTGAATGTCTTCCAACCCCTCGTCTTTCTCCCTTTTATTTACTAGCTTTTGATGGTTAGTTTAGGACATGTTTCAATTAGCATACTTATGCCCGCATGTTTGCATCATTCATCTGTTTTGCATGCACCGGGCTCGGTGCATCATGCTAACTGCATTGTGTTTCAATTCCAACTTGAATACGTGTATCGAGTTGTCGCATTTCACATGCCATTCTTAGGGTAGCCGAGCCTATCTTAGTTGCATTTTGCATGCGTTGCATTAGCCATTGCTAACATGAACTAGGATCATGCATGATTACTAACTAGTTTCTTGTTTTGGCTCGGAGTACTAGGTAAGCTTTTACGTTTTAGCATCCTTGCATGTGTGTGAGTGACTGCCATGATAGCATGCTTGCCATGAGGCTATTTGCTTACATGATATAATTGCCTGAATGCCTGTGGGTGAAGGTTGGGTTGCTTGAATTGGAATAATTCGTCGAAACCCGTGTTTTAGCCTGCTTATGAGTAGCAAATTTCAATCCATTTTCAAAACAAACGGGTATGCGATGCTTTGTTCCAAATTAGGCGACCCGGTCTATACTTGTTTGCTGTGCGCATAACATAGTAATTCTAGGCTAAATAATCAGAATAAGAGCACATGTGTCTTCAAAAACTTGATATCATGTTTAGTAGTGGCCGATCTTTTATCGGGTGAGTGGGGGTGCTCATATATCCAAGTTCTCGAGCCGAGACAACTTGGTGATGACGGACACGTGGCCTTAGGCAAACGAGTCAGGGTTTCCTAAATTTTCCCAAAAATAAAACATTTAGGTGGCGACTCTGTATCTGGCAAAGTAGTCCATGTTTGACACTTCTTTCTAAAAATCTTTTTTTCAAAACGATTTGCCGGATTTGGACTCTTTGGTGATTTATCAATCTCATATCACACATTGTGAGATCAAATTAAGAATCGTGACAATTTGAGTCCGAACTGTAGTGAGCCCAAATGAACAAAACGGGATTCCCTCCCGAGACGTTCGGGGACGTCTACAGTCCTAGAGATGCCAACCCCTGTATAGCGCCATAGTGTTGAGTTATTGCCCTTTTTGGGTCCAAGAGTGTGTGGACCAAAGTCTTTGTCAAGCATGTCTGGAGATTATTATAAACATGCCCAAATCTACAAAAGTCATAAATTACAAATCCAATAATAAAGTAAAAAAAATCAAAATAAGATCTCTGAATGGAACTACTTAATATAAAAAAATAAATAAAAAGATATCCAAGCGGAAACCAACGTGAAATGTATTAAAAAAATCTTTTTTTATTCAGTTCATTTTCCCCCATTATTTGCAAGGTAAGCAACCAATGAACTAGATGGACATGAAGGCTGTTTAACTGGGGTTTCATTTAGGTCAGGCTTGTGTATCATTTACTATTATTGATATCTAGAAGATGGCCGACGACTCCAGTCAATCCACAATTTGAACCAATTATCATTTGGTTTGCACAAGATTTGTACACTGACTGAATTTAGACCAAGTTTGGATGGCAAGAATGGAGAGCTAGAATGGAAATCACATTCCCAATCTCTTTCATTCCAATGTTTGGGTGCATCCAAGAATGGGAATGTGATTCCTAGTTCAGTTTTAAGGTGGAGTGAGGTTACCACACCAAGTAGGAATCCTATTCACCCATCCCAATTGGAATCTCACATTCTTGGAGGAATGTAACATAATTTAGAATAAAACAAGTAGATTGGCCTACAATATTTAACATTATATCATATTCCTGTACCCTTAACATTCTTGCATTATTACTAATAATGCGATTCCGGGTAATAGGATTCCCATTACTTTTTTATGTCTACCATCCAAACATAGCCTTAGTGTCATCTAGGTTACAAGTCAGTATTACGAGGTTAAACCTAAAACCTTATGTGAAACTTCATTAATTGCTAAAATCTGCACAAGGTTTGAAGGCAGTCAAAATTGATATTATCAGTGGAAATACATATGTTCCAGGGCAGGTGGGACGAGTAAGCAGAAGATAAAATAAAATAAATTATAAGAATCTCTTGCAAATTGAAGCAACCAAGTTTGTTGTGAAGTCTCTAAGTTCCCAGTGGTTGTCAGCAAATTGGTTCCCTAATCTCTTTGCAACAAGGCAGGTAACAACCGATGGCATCAGCTGGTGTAACTGAGAAAGAAAAGGCTGCCTAATTAGATATACACCTATTTCCAGACCAAAGCATGCCAAATGTGCAATTTACTATAGACCCTACTAATGGTCATCATGTAACCGATGGCAACAACAAACTTACATAAGGTTCTATGTGTATGTGCAGATTTTGGAGAAGGCTCTCAACAAGACGCATTAGAGCAAACAATAGACGAAAATTGTTTAAACCATAGGAAACCTGATATTACTCAAAGACAAATCAATAATAATAAATATAGTGGAATGAGCAAGAAAATGCTACAAAATTTCAAATGTTTTATCTGAAATATTTAACCTCCAAAATACCTCATCGACTATAAAGTAGGTAAAATAAGGAACTAAAGGATGAAGTCCTAAGTCTGTTGCCAAACTCTCTAAGGCTTCCTTGAAAAGGACCGAGTCAGACCTAGTCACAGCAACTTCGGTGATTTTATCGAAGTATAGCTGTACCAGAAAGAAGTATAATTAAATAATTTTATAATAGTAGAAGAGTAACAAACAAACAAATGTATCTATGTGGAAAAAAAATAGTAAAGCATATACCTGAAGCACCCTAGACAGTACATGTTTAATAGGTAATTTAATGTCGACAGCAAGATCATATTTCTGCTTAGGTTTTTTGTTATTAGAAGGAGCAGCAATAACTACAATTGCACAATCATTTCAAATATATGCACCTCTTTATGGGCTCTAGTAGCTACAAAATGGAAGGGGTTCAAGTAAATAAGATCTAGTAGTGATTGAATCCTTCTAGTGTTCCAAATAAGAAAATTTTTTTCATATATTCTGTATGTCCAATTGAACTTTTAAGTTATGTATAGACCTTCCACAGGAGCATTTTCTAGACTAGCAAGTTGTACACCTTCAATGGCCAGCCAGTGACAAACAATTGAAGTATCAAGTGGTGCTTTTGGCAAAGGCGCTTCAATCACCTACATGTTAAAATTTAAGGAAAAAAAATCAATAAATCAATAAATAAGAAAAGAAACATGGAAAATGATTTGGCCAAATTAAGACAGTTGGCATAAGAAGCAATCTTTTACATCTTTAAAATCCAAATCCTTGTCATCAATGTAAAACAAATCCTTGTGTCCAGTAGTTCTTCTGAACCGCAAAGGATCCCCAGAGGCAAATTGTGGGCTCAACTTTCTTCGCGCGCCCCCCTTTCGGAGAGGCGCGAATTGGTCTCCTACAGGTCGGACTCCTGTCACGGTTCTGAATCTAATCTCACAAAGTGCAATATGAGACTGATAAACACCAAAGAGTCCAATCCGGCAAATCATTTTTGGAAAATCAGATTTTAAATCAAATAATGCCAAAATTGGACTGCTTTGCCAGATTACAGAGTCGCCATCTAAATATTTTATTTTGGGAAATTTAGGAAACCCTGACTCGTGCCAAAGGCCACGTGTCCGTCATCACCAAAGTTGCCTCGACTCGGGAACTTGGGTACGAGAGGGAAAGGTTCTGAAATGAGCACTCCCGCTCGCTCGATCAAAGATCGGCCTCTACTAAACATGATATGTTGTTTTATAAACCTCATGTGTTCTTATTCTGGTTATTAGCTAACTTTACTTTGTGACACACAAAAGCAAGTATAGACTAAATCGCGAGATTTGGAACAAATCAACTCATGTTTGTTTTCGAAAATGGTTTGAAATTGCCACCCTCAAGTGGGCTAAAATGCGGATTTGCCACCCTCAAGTGGGCTTAAAACAACATGATTTTGCCACTTCGCAAAGTGGGCTTAAAACTCTCATTCGTTGAACTGTTCCAATTCAAGCAACAAAGCCTTCATCCACAGGCATTCATGCAGTTAATCGTTTAAGCAAATAGCCTCATGGTAAGCATGCGAAACATGGCATTACTCACATTCATGCAACTTTGCTAAAGTGTAAATCTTACAGTGTACTCCAAGCCAAAACAAAAGTTAGTTAGAAATATGCATAATCCTAACTATACAAAATGGCTAATGCAACACATGTAATAATGCAACTAAATAGGCTCGGCTATCTAAGATGGCATATGAATGCAACAATTGGATACACGTATTCAAATAAGTATTGAAATACGATGTGGTTTGAATGATGAGTCGAGTCCAGTGCATGTAATACAAATGAATGGATGCAAACATGCAAGCATAAGGTATGCTAATCAAAACGTGCCCTAAAACTAACCATCGAAAGTGGTTAAATAAAAGGGGAAAAGACATGGGGTTGGAAGACATGCACACACACACGCACCCTTATTACAACATTACGCCCTCGCGAAGGAGGGTCCGAATAATTAAGCTAAGCTAATCTAAGCTAAGCTAATTATTACAAACCAACTAATTAACTATTCTAGCTAATTAATTACAACATATTGAATTTGAATAACCAGTTACACAAACTAATTAATAAAGCAATAAAGTGGCCTTATCGGCGAGGGAGACATGCATGCTTGGTTGCTTCCTCCCGAAAATGCCTTTGCCTTGCCACCGGTTGCCTCTGTTTGCACTTGCTATGATCTCTGAAAACTGTACCAACTTCTAGATTGCCTTTGCTCCAACACAGGAACACTTTTGAACAACTTTTCTCCTCTAGCCGGTCAACCACAAAAAGTGGCTGTCAGCTACAACAACTGGCCGGTCGGCCACCCACACTGGTCGGTTGGCTACTGCAAGTGGCCGGTCGGCCACCCCTTTTTCCAGGCTTCTGGTTTTGCTACAACAGAGAGCAACAGAGGCAAAGCAATGCATTTTTCAAGGAATGTGTGTACTGCCACTCTCCTTATCATTTCTCAAGCTCAAAGGAATGTGTGTACTGCCACTCACCAATCAAACATTTTCAATGCATGATGGCCAAAGAGTCAAGCTTGTACAAAGCCAATGAATGCACACATAAGACTCAAAGGGCCACCACCCTATCATGCATGATCAAGGGTGACGGCAACCAAGAAACATGACGCGTTTCATCGCTTTGAGTATGAAACGTCCCACATTTCTTGCGTTTGGATTAACGTCCGATCCAAACACATGCAATGCAACACAAATGCTTATCTTGTTCATGTTTTACTTTGCTCATTTTAGCATTACCAAGCCATTCTTTAACCGGTTAAGTTCAAAATGATTGTCCTCTAATGAGAGAGGGGTCAACCTAAGGATGGTTTAAGACATGAGAGAGATCATGCCTTTGGCCTGGAGGAACCCTCATAAGAGGGTTAAAGCCATCGAGCACAAGCTCTATCTCAAGCTTAAACACAATCATAGGTTAACCAACCCTCAAAACAAATGGAAAAATGAAGAAATGAGGGAGGTTGTAGACTTTTTGATGTTGAAATGGCATGCTAAAGACCTTAAATCATGCAAGCAACACATGCAAGACATGTTCAAAAGCTAAAAGCATTATACTAGTGAAGAGCATCACACTAGAGACATGCAATATCAAGCGTAAATGACCAAACTAGCTCTGGATAGAGCTTAATCATGCCAAAATAGTGGCTAAATCATGCTGGAATTGAAATACAAAAAGATATAAAAACATGCTCATGTGTTGGCTCGCAAGCTAGGCTTAAAACACAACTCTCAAAAGCAATGAAAGGGTGAAGTATGTAAGAGTGTGACAACGCTATACACACTGAAACCATATATAAAATGATGCTATATCATGCAATCAACACATGCACAACATGTTAAAGGCCTTAAAACACAAAGCTAGTGAAGTCAATTACACTATAGCTATACAAAGCAAGCCTCATATGACCAAGAAGGCTCAAAATAGAGCTAAAGCACGCTAAATTAGTACCAAAAACATGCCGAGATAGATCCACAAAAGGCAGAAAGACATGCTCACATGCTAGGCCATCTACACATGCAAACAAGACACAAGGAGGGAAGGCCACCCCCTCCTATTTTGGACCTTAAAACATACTTTTTACCACTGAAATTCCCCTAGAATTCAGTGGTTAAAAGGCCAAAAAAAGTTGTTACAAAAGGCTTAAAGAAAAGGCACAACACTTAGCAAACAAGCTACAAAAGAGGGTGAACCACCCCTAACTTCAAAAAGGCCTTAAACCACCATTTTTAAACCTTAAAAACAGAGGTTTTTGTATTTGAAGAGTAGGCCAAAAACAACATGCAAAGGTGGCCAAACAAGTGTGCAAAAAAAAAGCTTAAAAGGGGTTAAGCCTATACCTTTGAAGCATAACACTAAAACAGGGGCAAGTCTGAGCTCAAACTAACCTTGGGAACTCCAAATAGGCCTCCAAGAACCTCAGCTCCAAGATGAAGGTATTTGGTCAAGGGTCTCTTTGCAAATGTGTAGAGAATTCTCACGTTCAAGTACAAAATAGGGAGAGAGAGAATTCTAAAGAGAGAGAAAATTTTGCTCACAAAATTGTGTAGATAGAGAGACTCCCAAACTTTCTAACCTCCTAAAATGAGAGATATGGCCTCCATATATAGCAATATACAAGCCTTGGGTCAAAATATCTGAATACAGGATAACTGGCACAGTGTAGAACAGCTGGAGGAGAAATATCTGCAAATTCTGAGCTTTCTAGACATTTGTGGCCGACTGGCCACTCTTGGTGGCCGACCAGCCACTTTTGGCCGATCGGCCACTTAAAGTGGCCGACAGCCCACATTTCTGGCCGACAGCAAAAATCTACTCTCCCTGTCCAACTTCAAATCGGCATATCTCCTTCATCTGGACTCTTTTGTAGGTCATTCTTATGCCTAAATTGAAGCCCTAGAAGTCTTCTTTCCAATGGTGGCAGCCTCACATCAAAATTCTAAGTGTACTAAGAGATATCTCTCTTTAATTGAAGACTAATTAGTTCCAGCTCAATCAGATTGATGCCTAACTTCAATCAGCCATATCTCCCTCATCTGGACTCGGTTTTAGGAGATTCTTGAGTGTAAAATGAAGCCCCAGAAGTCCACTTTCCAACGGTGGTGGTTTCATAGCTGAAATCCAAGTGTACAAATAGATAGGCCTGATTTAGCGAGGGCTACTTGACTCTCTCTTAACGGTTCATGCCCAACCTCTTCCCCAACTTGTTTTCTTCCCTCTCCTCCAATTTTCTTCAACTCCAAACCTCTAACCAAGGTGTTTTAAAGAGTCTTTTTGAAAGATTTCACCTCTCCTTCATGCATTTCCACTTTGTCCTTGCTCAGTTTATCGAAAAGCGCAACATTTAACGAAATACGAGCCTCGGAACATCGTAGAGACATTTTCAAAAATATTTTGAAAGAGAGGGTTTTAAGGTCTAAAAATCTTTTTGGTCAAAAAATGGGGTGTGAGGTTGGGATTTGACGCTTTCCTTGCCAAAGAAATCGAACCGTTGCACTGCACACCTTTCATCACCAAGTAAGCAATTAGTGGCGCCTAAGTCTTAAGGGCGGTCAAAAATGGGGTGTCTACAAAAATCCATAAATTAGTTGAGTCAAAAATAGTGGCCAAAATATTAGACACTCAGATTAGAAACACTGAACTTTTACAAAAAGAAAAAGTAAAAATAATGAAAGAAAATATAAGGAAAAGGGAATTTTCAATATTGCCACATAAAAGTTTTTTTTTTTTTTTCAAATCAGAGCCATCATCTAGATATTCCACATCACATGCATTGAGCAGTGCCAAGCTAAAAGCAAATATATTTTAGCCATTCAAAGGTCAACCAGAACTGTCAACTAAGTTGGTCAACCAGAATTAAGGTAGGACACCTCGATTGTAATTTAGTCGTTCTAATAAGAAATAATCACTTAAATTGCAAATTGATTGTAATTCAATCGTTCTTGTTTCTACTTGTGAAGATTAAGCCAAAACTGAAGAATCCTGGTTGTTCCCTATCAACCATGCAATGGTAATTATGGTCAAACATGGCTATTTAAGCACAATCCTATAGGAATATAAATAGAACATAGGAATTAACACAGTGTAAAGCTATAGCATTGAATGTTTTTGAAATGGAATTACCTCAACATTTCTTAAGTTGAGTGCTCTATCAACATCATCTGTTGTCAACATAGTTCTCTTTGAATGACGCATGCATTTGATTGCCTCTTGCAGAGTTTCACAAGAAAAAGTATCATTAAGTCCAACCATCTATGCATGAAAAATGACATAGAGAGAAAGAGACAGATTATGTTACTAATTCTTTTTTTTATTCATACATATATATATATATATATATATATATTAATTATGGGTCCTTGTGAATGTTGACTTGATGTTGTGTAAGATAACTCTTCACAGTTTTCTTCAAATGAAAGTAGAAAATTTAGGAGCCCTTTCACAAAATAAAATTATAGGGCAGATTAGTAGTATTGCAAACTTTGAGAAGCTAAAATTTTTAGAATTAAAGATGTTTTTCATTCCATGTTAAAATTTAAAATCACAATGGATTAAACTTATCAACTATTTAGCATAGTCAGCTACACTCTGCTTGAAATTTGAAGTGGTAGCTAATGTACATTACCAAATGTGCACTACAAGAAAAGTGGGCTTATGAGACAGAACTTTTTGTGACGGCACATTTGCCGTCGCAAAAAATGACTTTTTGCGACGACACAATTTACCGTTGCAAAAAATAGAGTATTTGCGACGGCAGAAATTGCTGTCGCAAAAAAAAAAAGAGTATTTGCGATGGCACAAGAAAAATAGAGTTTTTGCGATAGTACCAGCTGCAGTCGCAAAAAAAAATAAATAAATAAAAAATTGCGATTGTAATATGTACCATTGCAAAAAAAAAAAAAAAGTTAAAATATATATATATATATATATATTGTGGCTTTGAGACGGCTTCATATATATAGTCGTAAAATGGTTTAAATAAATGCAACGGCATTTTTCTGTTACAAAAATAAATAAATAAAAACGACGTCGTCTTACTCTTTTGAACATTTCGCTTTTCACCCATTTTTTCATCTTTCTATCTCTATCTCTCTGTCTCTCTTCTCTTTCTCTCTCTCACTCATAACTCTTCTCAGTCTGTCTGTCTTTCTCTTTCTCTATGTGTCTCTGTCTCTCTTCTCTTTCACTCATCACTCTTCTTTGTCTGTCTGTCTCTTTCTTTCTCTTTGTCTCTGTCTCTCTTCTCTTTCTCTCTCTCACTCATCACTCTTCTTTGTCTATCTGTCTCTCTCTTTCTCTCTATGTCTCTCGTCCATCTTTCTTCTCTTTATCTCTCTCATCTCTCATCTCTCTTCTCTTTATCTCTCTCGCTCTCTCGCTTATCTCTCTCTGTCTCTCTCCCGTTTATCTCTTTTTGCTTTTTTTTCCTCTTTCTCTCTCTCTCTGTCTATATCTTTTCATCCATTTTTTCATCTTCCTCTCTCTCTTCTCTTTCTCTCTCTCACTCATCACTCTTCTCTCTCTGTCTGTCTGTCTATCTGTCTCTCTCTCTCTCTTTGTGTCTCTCACTCATCTATCTATTCTCTTATCTCTTTTCTCTCGCTGTCTCTTTTGCTCATCTCTCTTCTCTTTATCTCTCTCGCTCATCTCTCTTCTCTCTATCTTTCTCTCTGTCTCTCTCGTTCATCTCTCTTCTCTTTATGTCTCTCTCGCTTATCTCTCTTCTCTCTATCTCTCTCTGTCTCTCTCGTCCATCTCTCTTCTCTCTCTGTCTCTTTTCTGTCTCTCACTCTCTATCTCTTTATCTTTTTCTCTCTCTCTCTTTCCCACTGTGTTTGCGTTGCTCACTCTCTTCCTTCCGTCTTCTCTATTTACTGAGCTCCCTCTCGATTTATCGATCCACTATAAGAAACTGCACTTTTAGCGACCACTTTATCTCTCTCTCGCTCATCACTCTGTCTCTGTTTCTCTCTCCCTCTCTCTCTCTCTCTCTCTCTCCTCTCTCTCTTATATCTGTCTCTCATATCTCTCTCTCTCTCACCACCCATCTCCTCTACCACCTTCACCACTACTGCAAACGCCATTCCACTACCACCATTACTACCACTGTCGTCACTTCACCTCTACGACTACCATTACTACTACCATTGCTACCATTCCACTACCACCTTCACCACTACTGCTGCTCCCTCTTATCTACCACAAAAAATTAGTTCATGATTGCAAAAAAAATGGGCTGTAGAAAAATATTTTTCATTAATCATAGAAAATTAACTTTTATTTTAGTGGAAAATATTTTTCATTAAAATATTACCCCTACTTCTACCAAATAAAAAAAATAATATTTTTTTTTCATTAAAATAAAAATGAAACAAATAAATTTTCAATCTTAGTAACTAAAAAAAAAGAATTTTTTTTAAAAAAAATTCATTAACTACAAAAAAATATATATTTTAACAAAAAATAATTTTTTTTGACGACGGCAACCCCCGTTGCAAAAAAAAAAAAAAAAAAAAAAGTTAAACGACATTATTTTTTTTTTTAAAATTTCATTTGTGACCAAAAAAAAATTATTTTCTTATTTTTTTATTCCCGCCCCTTTTTTTTTTTCCCATTCCCGCATTCCCTCCCCTTTTTTTTTCCCATTCCCGCCTTTCCTCCCCCTCCCAAACAAAAAAATCCCCAATCTCAAACCCAAAAATCCCTAATCTCTTCTTACCCCCCTCTCTTTCTCTCTCTCTCTCTCGATCGACGGCGAGCGGCGGAGAAGCAACGTTGGAGCAACGTCGGAGCAGCAGTAGCGTTGGCCTCCTCTTCCGCCACCTCAACATCTCTTATGTCTTTCTTTCTTTACTCTTTACTCATCTCTCTCTCTCTCTCTCTCACACACACACACATGTTTATACATACATACATATATGAATTGAATTTCAGGTTGGTTAACATATTTGCCCTGTGTCAGTGAAATCTGAACCATATGCATTTCAGGTTGGTTAACCATAGTAGATATAGGATTTTGTTTCTTAGAATTGGAAATTTAAAGCAAGCTCATGTACAAATTACACTTTTGATATGTTTGTGTTGGGCCTTTATTTTGTTATGTTTTTATTCATTTGAACATAAAATAATTGCAAAATTGGTTTGTAAACAACTGCGATGTCTCTAGGGTTTTAAAGTCGTCACCATATATCAACAAGCATTCTTCGTTTCTCTCATTTGCACATTCCAAAAGTTGTGGAATTTGAATGTCTTCTTGTGTTCAATTTTAATAGGTAAAGGACATGATTCATCAAGCTGGCTTTTATGTTGATGTTGATATAACAGACAGAACAATCCAGAAGAAGGTGTATTCGTAACTCTCTTTCTGAGCCTTAATTTATCATACTGCAAACTGCATTTATGCTGTGATTTGTTCTAAAAGGATTTTTCTTAAAAGACTAATAAGCCATTATTTCTTCTGGGTATTTGATAGAACTGCATTTTGTCTATGTAATTCAGTGTTTTGAGTTGTAATTCTGGGTGAATTGTGAATATTAATGAAACCTGAAGATGATGTTAAGTATGGTCTGAGCAGTTAATTTAGATTTTGCGGATTAAAGCCCATGAGAATATTGATTTGAGCTGAATTTGTTATAAAAATTTAGACTTTTATGTGTTTGAATAACATTTTGATTTTCTTTTTTCTTTTGGGTATTTCATGTAATTGCATTTCTCTATTTAATTCACTGTTTTAAGTTGTAATTCTTGGTGAACTATGAATAATAAATGAATCTTAAGTTGGAGTTAAGTACAGTCTGAGCAGTTAATTTAGATTTTGCAGATTAAAGCCCACGAGAAGATTGATTTGATCTGAACTCGTGATAAATTTGAAGGTCTCGTCATTGAAACTCTTTCTAAAATTTGTGTTCTATGTTTGTTAGGTACTCGGAGCATTGGCTGTTATTTTCTGTATTTGATTTTTTATCTATACTTTTGTGTTTTTAATTTTGTTTTTATTTATTTATTTATTTATTTATTTATTTATTTTTAAAGTAAAATGTGGAAAATGAAGATGGTTATCAATGTCATTGGACTAGATTTTCAGTTGGTGTTTTAGATTAATGTTGCTTGTGACTTTACTTTGAAAACTCCTATTCTCATTCCAGAATTGATGTGAACTAATCCCCTTTTTTATGAAATTTGGAAGGAATAAATATTGCCAGGAGATATATATATATTTGTTCATCTTTTGTCTGACTATACAGACTTTAATTCGTTATACAGACATATTAATGGCCTATTATTTATGGGGAATTTAGACACCATGGAGTCTTTAATTTTATAGGATGTGGGAAAGTGCTTCATTCTTTAACTTCTTATCATGTTTTTGAAGGTCTTTTATAAAATTCAGATTGGCCAAATCTTGAGTGGGTGTGTTTTAAATATTTTTTTTTTTAAAGATGCATTGGCATGGATTGAATTTTCTCTTTTGTTTTTCATATTATATTTCAAGAATTGCTACATGTTTTCAGGGTTGGACGCGCTAATGGAAGACCTATATACGAATGGTGAAGTCTCTAATATCACTACACCTGTGAGTACTAGATAATGTTTGATTTTGCATCAATCATTGTATAGATTGAGGTAGATTTTGATGTTTTGAACTATGGTATCTCTTGACATTAAAAAAATAAAATCGGTGATATCTTAAAATTTGTGTCTTTAGCGATTTAACTCGTAAAAGGTTAGGTATGGGGTAGTCCTTATTAATTAGCACTTCTTGACTTGTAAAGGTATAAGGATTTTTCCCATGGACCCTGCATCTATTTCAAAAATACTAATTTATATATTATATTTGTTTGTAAATGTCCCCCACCCCCCCTCCCCCAAGTCCTAACATTTTCCCACACTAAGTTTCAATTTATTTGAAGCCTTTAGCTAAAGTCATGTTATAATACACATTATATATACCATATTTAAATTTTAGTGTAAATTAATGTTAGTTATAAATAATAAATAGTTACATCCTATTATGATGTTTAGTTATGTTTCAAAGTGATGTGCATTACGATTCATTATGGTGATTTTGATTGCAATCAAAATGATCTTTGGTTATGGATATAATTGATGTTAATCATGACTCAATGTAACAGTGATCAATGTAGAAAAAGTGCTTATATCATATTTTTTATTATATTTTGATCTTTTTTTGTTTTTTTTTTTTGTTTTTGTTTTTGTAAAATATTTTATAAAATCTTTTTTTGATACTTTTTGTCTTGTAAATGTCTATTGATTGAAAATTTTATTTACAAATTATTATTTTGTTTATTATGATCTTGAATTTTTTTTAATGCCTGTATCTGTTTGGTAGTGTAGCAAGTGTCATAATTTTTTTACACAGTAATTTCAATCAAATATTAACCCTAAGGTTCTTTAACACAAGCAACCATAATTTACATGCACGAACTCCAAATTTTTATAGTCACATGACTCTAATTAAAGCAAAGGAAACTCCATAAAGCTTAACATTTTTATTTTTGTATTTGATTGAGATGTTTAATTATCCATGTGGGATTTGATGACTAACAAAAAAAATGTTGTATTTGATGCTATAGTAGTTAAATTTTTATGTTTTTTTGTAATTAACATTAACACATAATTATATTGTAATTAATTATTTTTATTTTTATTTTTCAGATATTTCCCATGTAGGAGTGTGCTTCTTGTGGAATGCAGGCCTGTGGAGAATATGGCTAACTTTTGTTTTTGTTATCTACGAAGAATGATGAGAAAAATATTTAATTTTGGTTTATGTTATTTGGAATTATGAACAAAATCATGTATTTAAACATTATATATGTATTATGGAACATTATGTAGTGGGATAATTTTGTTGATGTGTAATTATATGAATGGAAAAATATTTTATTATGAAGAAATTGTTATTTTTATGTAGGAATTTTTATATTATTATACAATTATTATGGAGAAATTTTAATATTTTTAATACTTTTATCGTAGAATGTTTTTTTCTTTTTTGCGACGGCACTACACCATCGCAAAAAACAGAAAATTTTAATATTTTTATTAATTTTGTTACAAGTTTTACTTTTTGCGACGACATTAAACTGTCGCAAAAAATAGAAATTTTATTATTTAAAATAGAAATTTTATTATTTTTTTAATACTTTTTGCGACGGTAGTACACTGTCGCAAAAAATAGAAAATTTCATATTTTTAATACTTTTTGTGACGGCACCACACCGTCGCAAAAATAGTGTTCTTGCCATTGCAAAAAAAAGACTATTAGCGACGGCATTTTTTGCTGTCTCTAATAACATTTTTAGCGACGGTAAAATAGTGCCATCACAAAAAGTCAAGAAATTTCAAACGTTATTAGCGACTGTAAAGTGCCGTCGCAAAAGGCTAATATGCCGTCGCAAAAAAGCATGCAAAAACTCTTTTGCAACGCCCCCAGTTGCGACCCCCCTCTTGCCATCGCAAAAAGTCATTTGCCGTCGCAAAAAGTTTTTTGCGACGGCATTAGGAGTATTAGCGACGGCATTTTACCGTCGCAAAAAGCTGAAATTTTAGTAGTGGCGATTATGAATATATCACTAAAATCTCAGTTATAACCACTTAATGGGTTTACAAAAAGAACCATACACAAATACAAAGGAAAATGTTCTTCCATTATACATTCATAAACACAGACATTATATTATAATTATTTTTTTGATTTTAACGATAGGGTATTTAGGTGAACCTCAACTAATCCCAAGACCTACGCAAAGCACCCCTCTGCGCAGGTCAAGCGAATCTCAGGCTATGCCCACAGGCATGGTCCATAAGAGATTGATAGCACTCAAAAGCAGTCAAACATTAACTTGATACTTCATGAGGCGCCAAGGGCCAAGTGACTAACCACCAAGCTAACATCCGGTGGCTGTGGCATAAGTTTCAGTGTGTGTCAAAGAAGTATTGGAATGTCCCAAATGCATTGGCATTTGGCAATAAGCATATCATCCTAAAAGGCTTCCTTTATCTCATTTGAATAACTAACTAGCAATTGCACATTGGTACGTGCTTATTGAAGACTTTAATGCACTTGAATGGCATTTCCACTACATATTGCATCACTTGATTCAATACCTAGTTGTATCAAAATCCTTTGATGGAAGACCATGTATGAGACTAAAAACATGACAATTAACTCATTAAACCATGACAATGACAATGACAATTAACCACGAAAACTACAATGACAATTAAACCATGACCGTTAACTCATTAAATCATGAAAATAAACTCAAAATTTAATGTCATCTGGCATACTCTAAACAATGCATTACTGTCATGTTTCAAAATAAACTATAGAAAAGCATGATGATGCAACACTGCTAGCACATTCAAACTACCTGCTTTATTTCACGCATACGGTACTCCACATTAGGAGCAAGAGCAAGTGCAACATTTGGAGACAGGCTATTAATCCCAATGCTTTGCGCTATGACCACAAATTCTCCTTCGGCAAAATACTCATTTTATTCTCTCTAAAGCTATTTCAGAAATCAAGCACCTCTTACATTCACACAATTCTATAACAAAAAACAAACGGTGTGTTAAGTTGTAAAGTACTCAAATTGAAAGCCTACCTTAAGCATGACTGCATGAGATAGGATTCACCAATGTTTGACCCTACGAAGTATGGACACGGACACGAACACGGGACATGGTAATTTCAAAAAAATGGGGACACAGACATGGCATGGAACATCGTGAATTTATATATATATGTGTGTGTTATGTGGATTCATATTACATTCAGCCTAAATCAAAATTAACAAACACTAGAATAGTAACATTAATTCAATAAACATAACCACTACATTTAAACAAATTAATAGATCATCCATTCACAAAAAAGTCATCCATAGTGGCTTATTATCTTCAGCATCAAAGGTAGATGGTGTGTTATTGGCAGAATTTGAAGTAGACATTTTTCCTAAAAATTATAATCATTACAAATTAACATTAACATTAGAAGGAAAAAAATTACATACTGTGTATATATATAAAATTATAATTAAAAAAAAATTTAGAGATATATATGCATATATATAAACATATATACAGAGACAGAGAGCATGAGAAACACAGAGAGAGAGAGAGAGAGAGAGAGCGAGAGAGAAATAGAAACATAGAGAGAGAGAGAGAGCGAGAGCAAAAGAGAGAAAGAGAAACAGAGAGAGAAAGCGAGATCGAGAGAGAGATCGAGAGAGAGAGAGAGAGAGAGAGGGGCTTACCATCAAAGTCTTCGATCAACTGGATGGAGGTGGATCAACGATGTTCAAGTCGATTAGATGAAGGTGGATCGACTGGTTCAATGGACGGGGGTCTTCGATCGACTGGATTGACTGTCTCACTGCTGACTGGTTCAATGGATAGGGTACACAATTTTATACGTCGTCGCCATTTTTTTTTTTACTTTTTAAATATTACACTTTTTAAATATAACAAAATTAAAAATGAGCTCCACCGTGTCCCATGTTGTCTCGATATGGACATGCATGTCCCCGACATGTCCCCATGTTCCCGACGTGTCCGCTTGTCGGACACCGCCACAACATCGATTTTGGAGTGTCCATGCTTCATAGGTTTGACCACATGTAACCATTACTTTTGTGATGCATTTATATCTAAGAAGGTCACCAAATTTTTTCCTTTGAAATAATGGAAAATTCCGAGTAAAAATGGAGGCAAGTACAAATGATAAGTCACATTTGATATCATTTGATAGGACAACTAGTAAATCCTATAGACTTCACTAAGAGGGGTTCGAACGGCAGTTCCTGCACTCGAGCTGTCATTTTGCACTTCCAGCACTTTTCCAGGTCTGTAGAGATACTGAGAGTTGTTATTCTTCGCTCGAGCGTCCATTCTTACGCTTGAGCAGTGTTCGCTTGAGCTTCTTGTGCTCGAGCGGTGGTCACTTGTTTGTAAAAATTCTGAGAGTTTGTATTTTACGCTCAAGCGACACTTCCTGCACTCGAGTGGTCACACTTTTTGTGTCTAGACGCTCGAGTGTCACTTCTTGCGCTCGAGCGGACTGCACGTCTATATAAGGCCGTAGTGCACTGAAAAAGTCACTTTTTGCTTCTCTCTCTATTCTCTTTCTTCCTTTCCACCATTGTTAGGCTTTCTTGGACCTAAAAGCTTGCGTTTCATCTAGTTACACCCATTTTCTAACCCTAGTCCTATAGATCAAAACGTAGAGGGTAGCGAGAGCTTTTATTTAATCTGAGTGGGTCGTGTTTTCACCGCCGGTGGATTTTCAGCTTTTCTCTTCTTCACTTCAAGACGTAGGGATTCTTGAGCTTCTTTTCAATACCTTGCTATAGATAGACTTGTGGTATTTTTACTACATTTAAAAGCATAATTTATGGTTGATTTTGTTAAAAAGCATATGGTTTGATTGGGGTTTAATTGGTGGATTGATGGGTTAGGTTTATGATTCTTTATGCATTGTAAAAGCATGTTTGGGATATGGAATTGGAAGGGTTTGGTGTTCTATTTGTAAATTTTAGAACATTGAAGGAGATCTTGATGTTAGTTGGAAATTGGGGTTATGTTTTGGTTGTTTACCAATTTGGGATTTTTGGGTCAATGATAGTGATTTCTGTTATTGTGCGTGCATTGTGAATTGGAGTAGATTTCTATCTTTATGAAACAAATTGAAATTAACTACCTTTTTATAAAGCAGGAGAGGTTATAATGAACGGGAATTTGGAATTTACCTAAGGGTGTATTGATTGTTTTGGATTATGTAATCGGTGTCTAGAGTTTTGTCCTTGGCCATCGGTGGAGGATGGTATTGATTGTTACTAGATTTATGCCATGTATGCTGTTGTAGGATGGATAATGTGGTATGAGATGATATAATGTTGGTTGTTAGTGAACATTGTGAATAGACAATTCCATTGTTAAGTTATGGACTATGTTGTTAAAGAGGTAGTTAGAACGTTTATAAATGTTGTTTCTATTATGAGACTGTTGTTGAATAGTTATGGTTTTAAGGTGTAGTACTTCATGATGTGTTTTGGGAATGTTTGAAGTAAAGGAAAACTTGTGTGGAATGATGGTTTGCGAAGTATATTTTAAAATAAATGAGTTAATGTAATTAACGGATTGTGGCTATTATGATGATAATTGAACTAGGTGTATGTATTACACCTGTGTAGTATTCTATTGATTAGCTCATTATGCTTTTAGTATGATGTTGTTTGGGGGTCTATTTCCCACTGTGTTGAGGCGGCAAAGCGTGGTGCCATGACAGAGGTTTCCTCGTCCCTTTCGGTTTGCGCCTGGTAAAGTGTAAAAAGGGGGTTCGTTTCTCACCGTATTTTAGCCAGCAAAGCGTGACGCATTGTGATAGGTTCTTCGTTCCCTTCCGGTTCGCGCCCGGTAAAGTATGACCTGTGCAGTACCTCCTTCCGGGTGAGGCCGATAAAGTGTTATATGGTATTGGTATTATTGAATCTGCCATTCATGCTGTAGGCTGGTAGAGATGGAATTGGTAGTATGTATTACTTTAGTTATCTCGTTTGAATGTATATATGTGTTAACGGTTTCATTAAATCCTTAGGCCTATGATCAGGGAAGGTTGTAGATATATATGTTGGGATGTAAATGTTTACGGTGTATTGAGAGGTAGGATGAGGATTATGATTTGCATATGGAGTTTTATTTTCAGAACAGTTGTTTAAGTGAAATTCTTTTATGTTAACGTGAGAAGTTTCATCAAAGAAAGAATGAGGTTTTTAAAACATTTTCTTTTGGAAGTAATGATAGGAATGTGAAAAAGAAGAAATGATTTTATACTGAATTGTGCCAAGAGGAACGCTTTGAGAAAAACAGAGTTATATGAGTATATTTTGGATGGTAAATGTCACACTACTTATATGGTTTGTCTTGATGCATTCATGATATATGTTGTGATTGGTTAGGATCTTCGGGATCTCTACTGGGCTTAGTGCTCATCCCACGCGTTGATAAACTTTTTAGGTACAAGGCTGGAGGAATCGTGTTTGACTTGAAGTGTTTTAATTGTTGGCCACGTGGCCTTTTACTTGTTGGCTGTGTGCCATGTATTGTATAATGGTAAATCCCTTTTGTTTTATTTCCTATCATTCAACGTAAGCCTAAAGGCATCGTACCATATCTTATTTATATCGTCATTGTTGTCGTGAGAGAATGTTATTGTTTATTCTTGTTCATATTCTCAACTGAATGAAATTATTACAATGGATTTGGTAATGGATTTGGATACTAAAAGTCAGAGCGTGACAATCGACATTCACATATCATACCCGTATTTATACCCGTACTCGTGCTTCATAGATTTTGATTTATGGTAATTATACTGTGTCAACTTATTAGATTAAGATTTTTCATTTGGAATTGTGATTTCAGATCTTACTTATCAACTCATTCAATTTTTTGTACTTTTAGATTTTATCTTGCTATTTTCAATAGTCTACTTGCAATCAAGAATTATAGATAATTGAATACATGAGTTCTGCTTGCAAAAATTGCTTCAAATTTTCAATGCGAATTTCAGTAGTCTACTTGCAATTAAGAATTGTAGATAACCAAATATGATATGAGTTATGCTTACAAAAGTTGATGAAATTGTCAGATTTCATTCTTTTGATACCAAAATTTTTCAATCTTTGTAATAATTTTTTCATACTTTAGTCTATGTAACTAAATTTTAATAATTACATTCAACAAACTTTGTGTTGATGTTAGAAAAAATAAAAAAAATTGTGAGTACTTATAATTTCATTAACAACATTTTGTTTGGTGTAATATATAAAGGCCTCAATTTCAAAGTTCACTTAGGGCCCAAAAAGGTTAAGGGTCGGTCCTGAATGGTTCCCTCTTTTCTCACTCATCTTTTCTTATTATTGTGGGTGTGTTTCTTTTTCAACTGGCGATGAGCGTACTTTAAAAAACCAGTGGTGGAAAAGGCGGAGTTGGATAGCGGTAGTAGTCTACGAACAATGGCGATGACGTTGGTGGGTTTGAGAGCTTTATTTTAATTCAAGTTTTGTTTTTCCAAACCACATCTGTGAGACATTGATGGTTTTTCCAAAACCGCAGCTAATTCTTTTCGGTGACTTTTGTAGCTTGTGTAAAATTTCATGTTTGACCCTTTTAAGATCCTGAAGTTTTTATTTTCTTGAGTTGTATGATGTTTACTTTTATTTTAATATAACTGCATTATAACTTTTCTTAAAATATTATATATATCTATTCTAATATGTAAAGTGAAGGCTCCTGGTGGTGTTGAGACATTTGTGTCTCATATTTTGATTTTTTCCAAAAATATTATTTATATCTATTCTAATATATAAACTGAAGGCTCCTGATGGTGAAAGAGACAAGGATTGAAACTAAGATCATTGATTTGGCAAAGCAAGTCATTGCCATTTGAGTAACACATAATATATGTGCATATTTCTTTATTGTTATTGTTAT